GGCACTCGACGGCGGCACGGCCACCTCGTCCAGGCAGTCCACAAAGTGCGCGCGTCGACGACAGGCTGCAGGACTCGCGCGGCATCAGTGGCGAATCCAGAAAGAAAATGGAGGGTGGGCTCAAAGTTAACAGAGAAAAAAAACGAAACGTCCGTTTGAAGAAAAACAACATCATCTCCTAGTCCATTTGTCCAAATGTGATCAAACTTTCCCAGAATACTACTGGAGGCATGTGGTATTTACTGGATTTTTTCTGAAATGTTTGAAACATATTAAATTTGAACTAAATTCTGAATCTGCTTAGCTAAATAGCCATTATTTTCTAGGCCATTTGTGCAAATGTGCTCAAGCTTTCCAGGTATACTACTGGAAACATGTACTATTTATTGGATTTTTTGAAAGGTTTTAACAATTGAATTTTAAACTAATATTGGTATTGCGAAGACAATATCTGCCAAACCAGTGCTCAAAAAGACATGAAAATTTTCAAGAGCAATAGTAATAACATGTTTAACCATACTAGAAATGTTAATACAATTCATACACAAGGTATCAAAGTACAAGAGAAGTAACAACAAAAGGACAATGAAATGTTGCTCTTACTAACTAGTACTGTAGTTATAGAACACCTTCACACCAAAATATAGAAATGTATGCGTAAGGCACCTCCTGCAAGCCATCTGTTCACATTAGTACACTTGTTAGTGATATAACAATAAGTCATGAACGAATAAGTATTGAAACTAGTAACAGTGGCATCAATACCTCTAAGAAATCACATGAAACTCATGAGGCAAATGTCCTTTCCGATCCCTCATTTTCTGGAATTGTATCATGATTTGGTCATCAGGAATGCTTCTAAATATCTCTTTCTCGCAGTAGCACACCATCAAATCATTTAGCCAATCATCTGATAGTTTGTTGCACAAATCTGTCTTGATTATCTTCATTGCTGAAAATATTCTCTCAACGGATGAAGTGGCCACAGGAAGAATAAGTGTCAACTCAATGAGGCGATAACCAACTGGAAAGATGTGTGTTTCATTGTTTCAACCATCAACCGAGAAAGTGTGGACACATCCCGACATCCATTAAACTCCTCACTTCTCCTAATGTTCATAAGAAATCTTGGGAGGTCTACTCCTAGCATTAACCGATCAGCTTCTGTGAAGTCCTCATCATAAATTTCAGCAAGCCGAATAAGTTTGTCAACGTTAAACTTTGAGAAGTTGTTTGCTGGATTAAGACAAGACATACAATCCAATAACTCGGTGGAAACTTCATTGAATCGGTGATTCATCTCAGTGATAGTTGCATCAATGGCAACATTGAATATGCTAACCTTGTAATAATGAAGTCGAGTCACCTTATTCTTAGTGCGAACAGATTGACCCATAGCTCCAACAAGATCATCCATGTTTGGCACATCAATACCATGTGTTTCACAAAAGTTCTTGGCTTGGCAGAATAAAGACTCCCACCCATTGTCCCTCATGATCTGCAAGCTTTCTTTCACATCCAAGATCAAACGCATGGCTTCAACAATGTTTTGATTCTTTCTTTGCAAAGCTTGGGATAGATGATTTGTGTTGCTCAACAAGTTTATTAAGAACAACATGATGAACACAAATTCAAAGCATTCCATGTTTTTAAGCAAACCTCTAGCTCCACCTTGACATGTGTGTTCTCGGGCATCAACCACAACAATTCCTAGCACCTCCACCACAGCATTCCACATTGTGAATATACGAAGCAAAGTTTTGAGATGTGAGCCCCAACGAGTATCTCCTGGCCTTGTTATGTTAGATTCTTGATGCAGCCCGGTTCCGGCTGTGATCTTTCCATTCTCCATCAAATCTAACAACTCATCTTGATGTTTGGCAAGTAATGCATCCTTCCTTTTGCAAGATGAACACACTTGAGTAACTATCAACGGAATATAGTTGAAGAAATCAGCAATAGCAGGACTACATTGAGCCACATTGACAACCACCAACTGTAACTGGTGAGCAAAGCAATGAACGTAAAATGCATGCGGAGCTTCATCTCTAACCAGTTTTTGCAAACCGTTGAATTCCCCTCTCATATTGGAAGCACCATCATAACCCTGACCACGTAGCCTAGAAGTTGACAAACCATGATATTCCAACACATCAACCAAAGCTTTTTTAATTCCAGCAGATGTACAATCTGTGATGTGCTTAATTGCAAGGAATCGCTCTTGAAGCACTCCATGATCATCTAGAAATCTACATGCATCAGGAAATCAGATTAGTAAACATTAGTAGAACAATTTAAAAAAAACAATAGAATATGGCATGTGTTACCTGACAATCACCGCCATTTGCTCCTTTATTGAGCAATCTCTAGCTTCATCAATAAGTATTGAGAAATTATTATCTCCAATGTCATTCTTAATAACTTTGGTTATCTCCATTGCACAAGCTGTACCAAGGTCCTTCTGGATGTCGGAACAAATCATTTGTGCATTTCCTGGCCCCTTATCAAATGCCTCCTTCACATCTTCTTTCTTGTCCTTATACCAGTCCAATAACTCTCTGAAATTGCCCTTGTTGATGGAAGTGGAGGATTCATCATGCCCACGAAAAGCTTCACCTTGTGCTATGAGATACCTTGCACAATCCAATGATGCAGTTAGGCGGATTTTATAAGATATCTCAGACTCCTTGCTGTACACACGGAATTGGGTAGCCACACTTGCTCTCTGATTGTTGAAATCATCACAATCTCCCTTAGCAATGTTGTGATAGCTAGATGGACCACCAACATGCTTCCTAAAATTACTTAGGGCTGTTTTCCAACGAGTGTAACCATCTTTTGTGAAAACATCATTTCCAAATCTAATGGCTTGTGATGGTTTCTTGAAAATAAAGCAATGGAAGCAAAAAGCGGCCTCCTTTTCCACACTATATTCCAACCAATCATACGTATCAAACCACGCAGGTTGAAAGGATCTCCAAATTTTACCATCCTTTGTCTTTTCAAAATTATGCCCAATAGCTTTGTTTCTCCCTTTCAACAAATAAGCTCGTCTCACATCACTTCTAATTTCAGGAGCATAATCTTCTATTGGTATTCGAAGTCCTGGATCTGAAATAATTTGACTTGGATGAAATTCTGGTATAGGTTGCCTTGGTTGGTTTGTACTCTCATCAATTGTGGTATGATTCATCTCAACATTTGGGGATTCATTTGAGCGTTCAGGAGGAGGGATTGTGCCCTCAACAATTAAGGGGAGGGGATTTGCAGTCACATTAGTTGGTTCAAGTTCAGGTTCGACATCGGTAGGGGGAGGAGCAGGCCTTTGGGGAGGGGTAATTGAACTGCTTGCATAAAAACTATGCATACTCATAGTTTTTCTCTTCATTTTTAAATCTGCAAATAAATTGTAATTGACCTAAATCAACTAATAGCGCATGAACTAGCAAACAAACTGTAATTGATATGAGCCAAATTAAAGAAAGGAATGGAATTATGGAACTTGGAAGCAAACTGGGAATTATACCTTAGCCAGTATTGGATGCGCTCAGCTTGGAATGGGGCGTGGCAGTGTGCGGCTATGCGAGCCGAATGCTCGCTCTGGCCAGCCGGCGGCTCCACTTCTCTGGCCAACGACGAGTTGGCGGCTGCACTCAGGGTCAGGCCGTCAGGGGCCTTTGATGCCGCGCAGTGGCGAGTCCAATGGGCAGGCTTCAACAGGCTGAAGCCTGCCCTTGATAGAAAGCGATTTTTTTTACTACTAGTATGCTTCGTTTCGGCCCGGACCAACTAGTCCCAGCGCCCAGGACCAACTGGTGGTTGTCAATGTGGCTCAATGTAGTCCTGCTATTGCTGATTTCTTCAACTATATTCCGTTGATAGTTACTCAAGTGTGTTCATCTTGCAAAAGGAAGGATGCATTACTTGCCAAACATCAAGATGAGTTGTTAGATTTGATGGAGAATGGAAAGATCACAGCCGGAACCGGGCTGCATCAAGAATCTAACATAACAAGGCCAGGAGATACTCGTTGGGGCTCACATCTCAAAACTTTGCTTCGTATATTCACAATGTGGAATGCTGTGGTGGAGGTGCTAGGAATTGTTGTGGTTGATGCCCGAGAACACACATGTCAAGGTGGAGCTAGAGGTTTGCTTAAAAACATGGAATGCTTTGAATTTGTGTTCATCATGTTGTTCTTAATAAACTTGTTGAGCAACACAAATCATCTATCCCAAGCTTTGCAAAGAAAGAATCAAAACATTGTTAAAGCCATGCGTTTGATCTTGGATGTGAAAGAAAGCTTGCAGAGCATGAGGGACAATGGGTGGGAGTCTTTATTCTGCCAAGCCAAGAACTTTTGTGAAACACATGGTATTGATGTGCCAAACATGGATGATCTTGTTGGAGCTATGGGTCAATCTGTTCGCACTAAGAATAAGGTGACTCGACTTCATTTTACAAGGTTAGCATATTCAATGTTGCCATTGACGCAACTATCACTGAGATGAATCACCGATTCAATGAAGTTTCCACCGAGTTATTGGATTGTATGTCTTGTCTTAATCCAGCAAACAACTTCTCAAAGTTTAACGTTGACAAACTTATTCGGCTTGCTGAAATTTATGATGAGGACTTCACAGAAGCTGATCGGTTAATGCTAGGAGTAGACCTCCCAAGATTTCTTATGAACATTAGGAGAAGTGAGGAGTTTAATGGATGTCGGGATGTGTCCACACTTGCTCGGTTGATGGTTGAAACAATGAAACACACATCTTTCCAGTTGGTATATCGCCTCATTGAGTTGACACTTATTCTTCCTGTGGCCACTTCATCCGTTGAGAGAATATTTTCAGCAATGAAGATAATCAAGACAGATTTGCGCAACAAACTATCAGATGATTGGCTAAATGATTTGATGGTGTGCTACTGCGAGAAAGAGATATTTAGAAGCATTCCTGATGACCAAATCATGATACAATTCCAGAAAATGAGGGATCGGAAAGGACATTTGCCTCATGAGTTTCATGTGATTTCTTAGAGGTATTGATGCCACTGTTACTAGTTTCAATACTTATTCGTTCATGACTTATTGTTATATCACTAACAAGTGTACTAGTGTGAACAGATGGCTTGCAGGAGGTGCCTTACGCATACATTTCTATATTTTGGTGTGAAGGTGTTCTATAACTACAGTACTAGTTAGTAAGAGCAACATTTCATTGTCCTTTTGTTGTTACTTCTCTTGTACTTTGATACCTTGTGTATGAATTGTATTAACATTTCTAGTATGGTTAAACATGTTATTACTATTGCTCTTGAAAATTTTCATGTCTTTTTGAGCACTGGTTTGGCAGATATTGTCTTCGCAATACCAATATTAGTTTAAAATTCAATTGTTAAAACCTTTCAAAAAAATCCAGTAAATAGTACATGTTTCCAGTAGTATTCCTGGAAAGCTTGAGCACATTTGCACAAATGGCCTAGAAAATAATGGCTATTTAGCTAAGCAGATTCAGAATTTAGTTCAAATTTAATATGTTTCAAACATTTCAGAAAAAATCCAGTAAATACCACATGCCTCCAGTAGTATTCTGGGAAAGTTTGATCACATTTGGACAAATGGACTAGGAGATGATGTTGTTTTTCTTCAAACGGACGTTTCGTTTTTTTTTCTCTGTTAACTTTGAGCCCACCCTCCATTTTCTTTCTGGATTCGCCACTGCCAACATTGGAACATCCACCTCCAGGCAGCAACCGACGAGCTTGAGAATATTCACGTGCATCATATGTGTCTGGATCTCTATTTGCTCGATAAACTGCTCCTTTAAAGCTTCAGTTACCTTGACAGAGGACATAACTGCCACTGCGGTGTTGTCAGTAAGGGTTCCTTTGAAGACTCTACCAAAGCTTCCGATTAAAAGAAACTCTGAGTAGCTGTTGGTGATTTTTCTTAGTTCACTTTTTGTGAAAATGTATAGTCCCTTGACATTCTGCAGTACTGGACCTCCATTCCTTTTGAAATTTGTGTGTGCATTCCTACTGAAGATGCCCAAACTGTTCAAGTTGAAGAACACGGCAGAGTTAGAGCTGGAAATCCTTTCGCTCTGTGTTGTGTTGTTGTCTTGTTTTCCCCACAATGTCCAGTGACCTGCAGTTTTTTCTTGACCCTGCTGGCAACGAGCTTTTATTAGCATCCGAAGACGTTCTGCAACATCTTCCATTTGAGGGCGTTTGCTCATCTCCATTCTGAGGCACTCAGCTGCTAGATTTACAATCTTGTCAAGAACCTTAATGTTGCTCGACTGTGCTATATCAGCATCGAACATCTCTCTTGCCTTCTTTCCTTTTTGAACAGCTTGGGAGAAAGTTCCTATGAGGCCCATGCTCCCGTTTTCATATGCCTTTTTTCTGGTGACTAGTTCTACTAAAACGACCCCAAAACTGTAAACATCACTCTTCGGATTGATGCACCCATTATGAGCATACAACGGATCCATGTAACCTATTCTGCCTATTATATTCAGTGTGTATTGAGTGCTGTCCTTGGAAAACATTCTGGATATCCCGAAGTCAAATAATTTCGCACCAAAGTTATCATCTAAAAGGATGTTACCAGGGGCGATATCACCGTGAATGGTTGGTGGACACATGGAAGAATGCATGTAGCTTAATGCCTCTGCACTGTCTAGAGCAATACCCAACCTTTGATCTAAAGAAATGGGATAGTCTTTCCAATCAAGAACTTCTCTGAGGCTTCCTCCAGAGATGTACTCGGTGATCATCATTAAAGCGTTTTCCTCTGAACAGTAGCCCAAGATCCTAACAACGTTCTTGTGGTTGATTTGGCAATGTATGATTATTTCCTTAGCAAAATGTTCTTTCATATCTGGGAGTGGAATCTTGACTGCAACGGAACTACCATCTTCAAGAACACCACGGTAAACTTCTGCGAAGCCACTTTTGCCAATGAGAGTGCTATAGTTGTCAGTGATCCTTCTAATCTCAGCCTCTGTGAACTTGTTTAGACCATCAATGTTGAATGATCTCCAGTTTACCTTTTCATCCTCTTGGATAAGGTCTGCAGGCTTAACCTTCTTGTGACTCTAACAAAGAAGATTATACTGTTATATTATAGGGAGATCAAGAAAAGTGAAAGAAAAGTTTAATTTACAAAAGGTCTCCAACACGATGTTATCTGTTGCACGTGACGTCTAATAAGTAAACTTCTTTCTTGAGACCGTTCAGTAAACTAACCTGCTCAACTGATGAACTGCTGATACCAATTTTGTCTGAATAGTCCACAATTCCTGTTTTACCAAGCCTGTCGATTATGTCCCCTGTATTTGGTCTCTTCTTCGGGTCCAAGTCCAAACATTCTGTCCCTATTTTAGTGCATACCCTTACTTGTTCCAACTGTGTATCTCCCTCTAATGCCTCCAGTCGATCCATCCAACTTGCAACTACCTGATTCATCCAACTTGCAACTACCTACACAGTTGCAATCATGAGTTAATTAGTATTTAATAACTAACACCATGCCCCATACAATAGCATGGGGAACAACTTTTTTGGGTTTCACGTACATACTCCCTCCGTCCGGTAAAAAGTGTATGTTTGGCTTTAAATTTGTTCACAAAAGAGTGTACATCTATCTTCCCAATGCACATTAAAATAGAAAAGAATATTTCTCTCTCATCACACCGTAATCTAGACCAATAGCATACTACACATGGTTTCCTTAATTTTTACATGCACTTAGGTCATTGGGGGTAGGATAATTAAAGAGGAGAGAGATGGTGGCTTGCACCTTTTCAATGTTTTTTTTACTCCAATCGATAATTTGTCCTAACATTTCTACATGTACACTTTTCACCGGACGGAGGGAGTATGTATTTACATATTGTTTGCAAGAAGGCCATATTAGCAGCCAAATGAGTCAAATGTATGTAATTTGAGATCGCAACACATAATTAAGGGTCAGATCAAAAGCGATACAATTAATGTTTTGTTAGTTACAAATAATTAATTATCTCACTTTTGGTCTTACATACCTATACAACATCAACGCTCCAACTTTCAGCTGGGTTATTTTTTCAATTATTTGTGATGAAAAAAGGGTCATCTGTGATGTTGCCGGACAAAATTATATGATGAATATTTCGTGTCATGGTAGATGAAACTATGATAAGGGGAAAATTTCTCGATGTACTTTTGCGAGTCATGTTACATGAAGAAAATTTTGATGCAAAAATTTCGTCACAAAATATATCTAGTGATGCGAAGAATTTTTTCGTGATGATTCACTATGCATAGTTTCTTGTAGTGGGTGACTAGAAAACGAGATTAATTTACTTCCACCAAAAAATATGCATACCTATAGTGCTATAAGATGGAGTCCTAGACTAGGGGGCACTCATCAGGTCGTCTCCCGACTAGGTGGGTCTAGCCGAGGACCCCATGGCGGTTCACTAATGGCCACTTCGGGCAGCCCATGATGCATAGAAGGAAGATTCCACAAAACTTGATGCACAAGAAGAGGACTCTTCTAAACCCTAGACCTTCAGTGCATTATATAGACTGAGGCCAGGCAAGTCAGTAGAGGATTACAACATAGATCAACAATCTCATGGTAGATACATGTACTCTGTACTATACCTCATATCTATACAATCAAAAACATGACGTAGGGTATATCATCTCTTCGAGAGAGTCTGAATCTGGGTAAAATCCTGTGTCCATGTTACCATCGCTCTAAGATGCCTAGCTTAGGACCCCTACCTCGAGATATGCCGGATTTAGCACCGATACTATAGTACTTATAAGAAGAACGATTTTTGTGAAAACCAACTAATGTTAATCGTCCAGAATATCAAATCCGATGGGGGCACGAAAGAAAACCTGGAACCTTAGCTTCTAATGACTTCACTAAAGGGTTAATCACATACTTTTTATCCTATTTATGTATTCTAAGAAAAATGTCGTGTTAGTTTATTTATTTAGCAAGGTGGAGTTAATATTGTGAATGTGCTAAGTTCATAATAAACCAAATAAAATGCAAGGATAATTTTTGAATTGGTGAAAGTACATTTTGGGTGGAGTAGTCAATATATTAAAACTGTGCATCACATGTATAGTTGTATACGTTTGGTAGTAGTAGGAAATCAAAATCACATAGCTTGGTAACAATGAATATGAGTATTTAAAGTAAAATGTCAAAATGTTGTTATCTCAAGCATCTTAAGAATGTACATTTTCAAGGAAGTGTACACGTGCAATACACAATCCAAGAGAATGTACCAACATATTTAAAAGATCACAGGTAAATTGAATTTAACTTCGTAAAAGGTGTTTCTTCTCTCACTAACCACACAAATGATTTTACAAGCATGAGATTAAGATATAATTATAGCAAACTTAAATCGTGAGTGGTTGCTGAAAGTATGTATCGATGGGTCGGATCAAAATGCCCTACCACCTTGTATTTGTATTAGTGGTAATGGAGGAGAGATATTTGCTAAACTAGAGTGTAAAACATTGATTTAACAATATTTCCTTCGACTAACTTGGAGCATGGCATAACTTGTTGTTACCTTCTCATCTTCGGGATAACTCTTCTCTCCTATCAGTATCTCCATCATTATGACGCCTAGGCTAAATATATCTAACTTGTATGTGATTTGTCCTCTCAGGAGTTCCGGAGCAAAATATCCTCTGTTGCAAGATTTATGAAGTCTGATTGATGAATGTGCAAATAAATTGTATAATAATTTTTGCCACCAATGAGAACAATAACTTTTAAGAGGATTGCTTACCGTGATAGAAATATTTGTTCACTGAATGCACTTGTTTGCCCTTCCTCGAAACACCGTGATAGACCAAAATCAGTAATTTTAGGTACCATGTGATCATCTAAAAGTATATTAGCGGGCTTGAGGTCCAAATGAAGAATGCACTTCTGATGAAGATAATGTAGCCCCTCACATATTCCCCTGATTATTCGATAGTGTTTTCTCCATTCAAGTCCAGTAGATACATCTGAAGAGGAGGTAGCAGATTTTTAAAATAGTCATATTTAATTTTTATTGATATTGATATCGTAATGTAAATCTAGGAATGCAAAGTACATAACATGCTAAGTAGTCAAATAACCTACAATAGAGTAAATAAACGTTGACAGAAATACAAGTTGAGCATCGATCCTACCGGTAATATGCTTATCAAGACTCCCGTTGGGCACATGCTCAGAGCAAAGCAGCCAGTTTCGTCGATCTGACATGACAAGCTTTCCCTCGTAGTCTTCCATTTCCCCTTGTGTCTCAGCGCAATACCCCAAGAAACGTACTATGTTCTCATGCTTAGCCTTCATCAAGCATTTAACCTCTTGGTGGAATTTATTCTCGCGGATATTGTATGTGTTGGATAGCTTCTTGACAGCGACCATGTATTTTCCAACCATCCCCTGTGGTGACAATATGCATTGTCAGCTTCGTGTGTGTCTGGCCCTGCACATACCAAAATGCTATTTACCTTATAAACCACCGCAAACCCTCCGAAGCCGATTTGGTTATGAGGAGAGAAACGATTCGTGATGTCCTCCAATAGTGATAATGGCGGTTTCACGGGCTCTGCATTTTTATCAACCAGCAAGCGCTCCAGGATGGCGTGTTTACTCTTGCCTTCGGGATCCATTCGCAATCTCCTGAATCGAGAGCAATGCCGTTATTTAGGCATATAGTACATCTTAGTATATTATTGACGCCGACTGTTGAGGAAATTAAACTGCGTGTGAACAGCATGCACCATGTAATTGTACTTTGTCATTCCGATGACCAAACACCCTTAAATGGCAGTATTGCTCTGCTTGAAGACTGAAAGTTTCAGTCCAACTTCACTAGTTATTGTATTTCAGCAAAAATGGCAGACTTACAAATCTGCGGCGCCGAGATGAATGAGCCGGACAGTTTACCGTTGACCAAGAGACTAGCTGATTACCGTGGGCTAAGAACACCGGCAGATCAGATCTAGCGCATCCCGCGCAACAGAGAGAGAGAGAGAGAGACAGAGAGAGAGAGAGACAGAGACAGAGACAGAGAGCGGCCGGCGAGATCGATGTAGCCATGGAAACTGATTAAGGAATAGCTACCTCGGCAAGCAAGTTGATTGCCCGATCTTCGCCGGCGCAAGAGCGGCCGCCGTCGACCGTCATTCTCAACGCCCAGCTAATAATTAATCATGGGACCAAATAGTAAGAGTAATACATCATACTGGAGGAGCATACCTTGGCTAGACGACGGGGCGGCCAATCAAGCAATCCTTGAGATGATTAGACGACCGAGCTTGTAACTGCGGCTGCTCTCCCTTCCTCCGGTTCGACGACCTTCCTTCCCCAGCAACGCCTCCAGGCTCCAGCTAATTAGACTAATTCGTACTGCACTACTGCTACATGTATTTTCTATGTTCTACTTGCATCTACTCCCTCTAGATACAACCATTTATAGGACAAGTTGTTAGACTTAATCCAGTAGGATAGATTGGATCTTATGCCTAGAATTCAGATCACCTAATTGCATATGAACAGAGAGGGGTTGAGTTCTTACCACCAATGGAAGAAGCCATTGGTGTAGGCGATGCGAAGTCCCGTGCCTGCTCGATGCAGGCGTAGGCTTGGGGTAGACGTTCGTAGCGGGTAGCGGCGTCCTCCCGGGCGCCACCGACACTGCCATGGAACAGGGGCAGAGGTAGGAGATGATCTTCCCGTCGTGCAGCACTCTCCTAGATCGGTTAGGGTTTAGGGATGTGGGGAGCAGGAGTAAACCGTACGAGAACTGGTCTAGCATAGGTGCCGGCTGCTCCCCCATCTTTTTATGTGCGCTGGCGACAGGGGACCAAAACCATAGTTGGTTAGGGTGCCCCCGATCAGGGCGCGTAAGTTGAGGTCGAGGGGTACGAACGTTGGTTCGTGGCCTCCCTGTTTCTCTCTTTAACGTAACTTTATTTCTGGTCTTTTATTTTTGTTTTGGCCCATTGGGCCTCTAGATCAATACCAACATTCTCCCCCTTGATCGTTAGGCTCAATGACTTTTGTCCATTCTCCATAGGAATAATATACCAGAGTAAAGTGTTACAACAGCCGATGAAAAGCCATTGAACCTCAATATTCATAGCACACATCCTATTTCAAAAAGGAAACATTTTACTTATTGGGAGTGGTTTATATTAGCGGTCCCATAATTCCAGAATCAAGAGGCTTCCAATAATCCCATGCCGGCTACACACTACTAGGAAAAGGGCTACTAATGGCGCACCAGTTTTGCCTACTAATGGCGCATCACTGGTGCGCCATTAGTATCACGCCACTAGTATTTTTTTACTAATGGCGCACCACTGGTGCGCCATTAGTATCTGGTATACTAATGGCGCACCATTTGTGCGCCATTAGTATAGGCCACGGTGCGCCATTAGTATAGGCCACGGTGCGCCATTAGTATTTTTGAATTTTGAAGGCGGGAAAATAGTAGTGGCGCACCGTCTAACCCCCACGTGCGCCATTGCTATTTTTGAATTTTGAATTTGGATCTGGATCGTAATTTTTTTGCCCATTTTTTGCTCGTTTTTTTTGCTCGTTTTTTGGCACGATATTATTTCAAATTTTGTTCCTGTTTTTGGATCTTGTACGTTCTTTTGCCGTGTTCTTTTGCTGGAGAGGAGTTCCCCGGAGAGGAGGAGGAGGAGGTCACCGGAGAGGCGCTCGCCTACATCGCCAGAGAGGAGGAGGAGGTCGCCGGAGAGGAGTTCACCGAAGCATCAGAGAGGAGGAAGGAGAAACCATGAGGGAATGGGAGG